AATGACAGCTTTCAAACACTTTCGCTCTTTGCTCTCTGTTCAATATTGCGCGCGTTCTTCGCAGATGGTAAAATACTAAAAAGGGACATTTTAGGAACTCTGTCCTTAGAGTAAGCAGATGTGGCTCCCTGGGAATTGATGATGAATGTACGTGTACGCATTGAGTAGATAGATATAGTGCTGCTGTCATTTTGTTCTACGATGTAAGGGAAAGTCAATGGGGTTGCAAGGAATGTTAAGTCCTAAGGGAGGAGAAGGGGGGATAGCTTTGGGCCTCTCACTCAACTCTGCATGCCTCAAACTTTGCATGCTTCAAACTCCTGCGCGACTGCAGCTACAAGTCCAAACAGCTCGCAAGATTAAAACCGGTTTTTGAGACGTGGCGAGGACATGACCTCGTATAGGTACACAAAAACTTCACTTTGTTATATATCAATGAGTCTATTGTTTGTTTTGTGACCACTTGTCCCTTAATCCCTAAGCTTTATAGCTTGAGATGATTAATGCATTATTTAGCTTTGATCTAAGATTTATATGTGTGATTGTGAGTTTGATTACATTGAACTTGTCCTGGATTTAAAGGTGGGAGATCATTACCTTTTATGATCATTCATCGTCCCTTCTTCTCCTCCAGTCAGACAATGGTTCAATTTAATATTGGTTTAGACCGTTAACAATGCAGAGGATCAAAGTGTAATTTAAGGGTCTGATGGCCCTCTGTATCTACTCAACAGCCTGACTTTAGCTACCAGCAAGATACCTTTTATGATAAGGTTGATAGTAGGGCAATATCATGTCGTAATTTAAAGGGCCCGTGTCAGGCTTCTCTGGTTATCACCCGTCCCCTTGTGTGTTATGAAGCTTTCTCTGCATGTAAACGGTCTGCAGAGTCAAAACCCTCAAAGCACACCCTGTAGGGAGTAAAACTCTAACACAGAGAAGACCTGTCTATGCTGCCCCAGAACGCTTCGTTGTGGATTTCACTTTTTCCATTTCTTTCTTCCGGGAACCAAGTGACGTAACGACGAGCCGTTATGTCCGTGGATTGGTTCCAAATTGACCAATCGGCGGACTTCCTCACACACTCAACACACACACTGTGAGTCGGTCGGGCTGGGTTTTTGTCTCGCTGTCTCGCAGACGGCCACTGGGCTCATAGGGAGGGAGGGGGGAGGGGGGCAGGAGCTCCAACAAGCCGTGTAGGACAGAGAGTGAATACACATACTATACAGAGATGCTGTATGAGAAACCAATGTGAGTTTGGAAAATGTCACAATATAAATCTATTCTAGTAGACCCCAACAATGGAATTATGATCAGTAGAAATGGCCATGACATGGGACCTTTAAAGCTATCCCTGCAATTATGGGAAACACATGAACTTATGATTCATTTTTTAGGCGCAATACGATACTCTCAATTAATTGATGTTGTGTCAACGAAGTATTCCCTTATTGCTACAGAGCAAAGAAATGAGGGAAGAGCTCATTCTCATTTATAATAAATGAAATGTGGTTTCTGTTTTCATGTTATTGTGCTTCTCCAGTATTTGTGCTGTTATTTTAATTAGCAGAGTTGGCTCATAACACGTAAAAGCCAAGACGATTACTTTCATATTGCTGCATAAATGTGGCCTCTACAGATGCCGTTCCAAAGTCAGTAAAAAGCTGATTACTTAAATGTTTGAATAACATGTACTATTCAAATGATAAACATGGCATTTTTCAACAATCATTATAAAAACGAGACATCTTCCAGGTAATTCTTTTTTGTTATTGAAATCATGGCTTGTTTATTGTGAGTGTTGGAATCTGAGCGGTGCGGCATCAGAGGAAGACGATGCTTAGCCTCTCAGACAGATTAACAATCAGACCAGTGTTCTCACTTTGTAAAGCAGACCTGTGACTCCAGTAACACTCAGTGTAAAGCTGTACCTGCTGCTATTACTCAAAGCTGTTCAGAGATTTCTCGCTGTCATCCATACTTTCTCACAGGAGGTTGAGATGTTTAGCACATACTTTTGGCTTCAAGCGTGCACACAGTGAAGCTTTACTTCATGTGTTATCCAGCAGAAGCACTCATTTCTGATCTTTGTGTATTACTGTTCTGCATTTTACATGTTGTGTCCCATTCAAAAGCATTTAAAAAAAAAAAAAAAAAAGGGAAAGCAGAGCATATTCATCCCACCCCAGGGACTGGTAAGACTCAGACTAAACAGATAAAAGCCTGACGAAGTGTCTTCAGGGTTAACAGGGTGGATGTCATAGTTAATATCCACTCTGTTAACTCTGAAGAGAGGTACTCAGACAGCTGGCTTACGGCTGGTGTTTCTTGTAAACCTTATCTGAGATAACTATAAAGTAGAACATTTGTTTCACGCTTTACTTTAAAAATGATTGGGCTTATTTTCCAGAAATATCGGCAAAAACCACCCAAATGATGAGTTTAACAGAGAGACGTTACATCTTGCATTAGGGTGAGGACATCTCCAGTATGCACAGAAATCATCTGAAGGTCTCTGATCAGCAGGAACTCCAGATGGTCTTTCTTCAGCCAACAGCAGCCCAGTATGAAGATAACCTCTGCCCCGTGTATGGTCTTTAAACACAAGGGAACGCAGCTGGAAGCCTTCGAGTCCTTGACCTTTCAGCCGAAAGTTGAGTACTTCACAAAACTTTTGCTACGGTTCATGTGATCCTCAGACACCCGAGTGAAGCCAGAGAAAAGACCCCAACGGAAATCAAGCTCAGGGTGAGATGTTTTCTCGGGTCCGCAGCCAAGAACAAATTGACTTGAACACTCCTCTGTTTCTTCAACCTGAAACTCTAGCTTTCCAAGTAAAACAGACGAGTGCAGCCAGAGAAAGACCTGAACAGACATGGAGCTCAGGGTGAGATCTTTTCTCGGGTCCGCAGCCAAGAACAAATTGACTTCATCACTCCTCTGTTTCTTCAACCTGAAACTCTGCATCTCCAAGTAAAACAGATTACCACAGACACTCAGTGAAGTGGAAGTCCACCCATGTGGAAGACAAATGGGACAGTGATAACCTTGAGTAAGAAGGCAGAATGATTCAATCACCTTCTGAGCCGACGCCCTTTGTTCGCAAGTCTACTGGAGAGAAAAGGTTGAGGCACCAAGAAATGGAAAACATGGGTGAAACTGCAGGAAAGCTTGTTGACAAAGGCGAGGTGAAAGGTCAGTTGAATTTGCAGCACCTCCTAGAAAAATGTCTGTAAGCTCAGATGGTGAGAAAAGCAGAAAGCTCACGTCTCCACACCCGAACATGCATATGAATCAAACTTAATGCAACATTGAAACATTCCCCCCCCTTGTGAAAGACAACAGGGCCTGCAGAAATCAGGAAGCTATTGTTAGTTTTATGAACGACCACATAGAGAGTGCCTAAAGCTTTGACATGGAAACTCTTTCCACGGGCAGTGATGAAACAAAAACACATGTTCATCTCTGCCAGGGCAGCGAGTCAAGGCCAGGAAGCAGATCATGCTCAAACCGGGTCAAAGGTCGAAAACAAGCTCCAGCAACAACAACAGCATTTTGTCTTTGTGCACCAAGTCAAGTCCCAACACCTCTGAATTCATTTCCCACGCATTCCTCTCCGAGAAGCCTACTGTGACACAGTAGACAGTGAGGATGAAGATAACCCTCCCGGTGTCACCAGTTTCCCAAGCTCCCATCCCATGCTCCCCTTCTTGGGCTGCAGGAGTCCCATTTCATTTGAAACCTTTCAAAGGAGGATTCTGGGATGCTGAGGAGGGATGGAAGTTTCTAGTAAAACAGAAACGTGACACAAGTCCTGGATCTGGATCAGGCCCTCAGCAACAATAATCTACTAACAGCTCAACAAATATAATTCAATTGATCTTGACATATACTTTTAAAAAAATTAATTGGCAATTGAGTTTTCAACCTTTTTCCCACATAGCATTTTTACAAGTGGTATTATTGTTGGCCCAGTTTTTGCTTTCCGTTTTCCCCAGAGCCTACTTTCAGGAACAATTTTCGCAGAATTATTCAGACTATCAGGCAAAAAAACGAATATTCTCATACATCAGAGTTGCTTTTCAATGCCACTCATCATTACCATGTCAATAATAATAATATGCACATGAGGGCATAAGATCATCCAGCTTTGAAGAACTGGCTGTTTTTTTATTAGAAAACATCCAAGAGATCTTGTCTGGTGGCACATAGAATAGCTCAGTGAAAGTAAGACTTTCAGAGAACCAAACTAAATGCTGATGGTGTCATTATTCTTTAGCCAGTACATTGTGCAATCAACATTTCTGTTTTTAATGACATTGGAAAGGAAACCTGATGTTGCAGATTCAGCAACAATTGCACAAACATCTTTTTCTGCTTGTGTGGTATTCTGATAGCAAGCTAAATGGAGTTTATGCTGAAAGTACTTATTCAGTACTAATATATCACCTGATCAGCAATCGGCCTCATCTATGCAGCGCTGCATTGGCACAGGAAGTCATCTGCTGTCATTTCATCAGTTTAGCATGAAGCTAGCTTAGGCTTCCTCTCTGATTTATCATCATATCTTGTCTTTCCTGCTACAGAAAGCACACACATGAAACAATGAGCATATCTACACAACAAAATGCCACTTCCCTACTTGTTCACCTATTTGAACCACCTTAACTCAGTGTAATAACATCAAGAAAACTAAACAGTTGTATCATATTACAATGGCAGAGGAGTTGAGAAAGAAGTTTTCTTTCGACTTTAATCCTTGAAAGACTTGGTTTGACTTGGTTTGCCATACATCTCAAAAATGTAATATACAGACATCCCCGTTTCCTCTGGATGCTATACAACCAAAACATACCTTCAAAAAACTAGTGTTATTCCTATCAGCTGTTCTGCTGCACAGTGAAATAAGCTAATGTTGTCAAGCTTACATGCTAACACAAGATAGTGAACATGATAAACTATGTTATATCTTGCTTTATTTCTTTGTTTATATGCAGAGACAGAGGGGATCAGACAGAGGACATGAAGAGGGTCTGCAAAGGAGATACCATCCTCTCTGACAGAGACATGAGAAATCAAGACAAAAGTCTGCAAAAACTGGAAACCAGTAAAGTCCAGGTGAGACATTTTTTAAAAACTATATCTGGACAGTTGGTGTTATTGGTACGCGTGATTTTCTTCTCATGAGACACGTGGTAAAGACACTACAGCAATATGACATCAAGCTAAAGTCAGACATTCATACAAAGACAATTATAGGGTAAATGTTCAGATTTGAGTTCAGCTTCAATAAACTCATTTAGCCGAATAACTATTTGGCTCACGGCCTTGAGTTTGACACCCCTGCTCTATCTAGATGTATATACTGCTCTGTTTATTGATATATGAACTGTTTATGATTCTTTTTCTTGTGCAATGCCGTGTTTACATACTGCTGTAACAGTATTAGCATGGGATCAATGTGGTGGATCTAATCTGATGATCTTGGCTAGTTGTCTGTAACCTGATGCAACAGCATGCTTCAACAACACTGGCACACAAGCGGTATTCTGTAGCAACAGTAGTTAGTGAGTCAAATTGACTGTTTGCATTTTTAAAAGGTATTCATTGACATTATTAAAAGATAAAACAACACGTTAATATCATTTAATAAAAAAAATATTGATTTGGAAATTTGGCAATTATGCGTAATTGTTTCTTAACAAACCGTTTCAGTTTATCTCATGACATCACTGGCCTGTTTCACAACACCAGCTTTCCCACTAAAACACGTTTGATTGTTAGAAAAACTTACCTTGGGAAATGACTGAGTGACACTCAGCTGTGTCAGAGCCAGCCAGGCCTCTGTCATCATTTACCTTTCGGCATTTCTTTAAAGCTCCTTCCAGATTCCCTGCAGCCATGATTACCGCCCACACTGTGCAGCGTGTTTTGCAGAACTGGTACCACCGGTAGATAACAAACTATGTCAAAGCATAACTTAAACCATACTTTCAGGAACTCATTTAAGGTAAAGTGAAACCGACCTGCCCTGAACAGCAAGAGAGTGTGTTGTTCGTTGGTATTGTGTCAGGAATGAACAGCAGGAAATTACATGCATATCTGACTAATGTTGAAATAACATGCAAATTGGTGTTTTGGTCTTTGTTTGCATTATTCACACTCGGCAGCACGTACGGTATTGTCCTGGGAATAACTTGTATTTTCTGGAAAACACCTGAGACAAGTTAATGCCTGTTTTTTCTCTGATGTCTTCGCCTGCTTGTCATACTAGAAACGATTATCCCATCACGTTTCAAACTTATGTCAGGAGGCGTGGTAAACTACAGTATGTCTTATATGGCTTCCACAGAAATGTAATTAAGCCTGTAAACGGTCTGCAAAGGCTTACATCACTGTGTTCCCCCCAGAGGGGGTCTCTCTGTGCTGCAGCACAGGCAGCATGAGAACAATAAAGAGCTTTTTGAACATTAAAGCATGAAGACATGTCAGAGTAGAGACACTACATACTGATATATCACCTGAACATCAGCAGGAGAGGACTCTTTAAAGTAGAGACACTACATACTGATATACACCTGAACATCAGCAGGAGAGGACTCTTTAAAGTAGAGACACTACATACTGATATACACCTGAACATCAGCAGGAGAGGACTCTTTAAAGTAGAGACACTACATACTGATATACACCTGAACATCAGCAGGAGAGGACTCTTTAAAGTAGAGACACTACATACTGATATACACCTGAACATCAGAAGGAGAGGGCTCTTTAAAGTAGAGACATACATACTGATATGAACCTGAGTATGAGAAGAATATGTCCCCATTAACATTCCTACTGAGTGCTGTGCAAACATTGGTTCTGTAAAGACCGAGAAACAAAGGCTATTGCAGTCAGATATTGTCCAAGAAACTTGAGAGGGTGGCACGCTGTTTGAACAATTAGAAATTGCCTCACTTTACCCAGAGTATATTTACCAGACATCCTTTAATCCCAGCTTTGTTAACTCCTCTGGTTCATTGTATAATGTTCCATTATATAATAACAAAGCAACAGTAGTCTAAAAAGATTTTAATATAATTTTAGACTGACTCAGCTTTTTCTTTAGATCAGAAATGTGTAGAACCTGTTCTCTTTGATGAAGGGAAATGTAGGCATCATGTAACTTGTTTCACACATACAAAGAAACTATACACACATAAATCAAGAATAAAAACACAGAAGTGAAGCAATAGTCTAAAATATAGTGGAGAACTAAAGAGAGCTGACATAATGATGGCCTTTCACGTGATAAACACATTATCAAAAAGGACTGCGAGAATAGAGACTAGGTCAGTAAGACATTCAAACCAACAACAGTATACTGTGAATTGTGTGGTTGGTTTTTGTCTCAAGACAATCATATGATGAGAGACAATTGAATCAGATTACATTCATGTGAGAGAAACAGTTATGTGGCATGTTAAATACATAATGATATAATATAATACCATAATCTTGAAGGTTGACCCACCCAAATGTAGTGATAAGTCAGATTAAAAGGCCTCATTATGACATGTTAAATATGAAAATTGTATTTAAATAGTTTATCAGTATGGCATGGTTTAGGAGGAACATGTTTTCAATTTAATTTTGACGTATACCTTGAAGCTACTTCCTGGTATCTGAGACCAATGTCATTATTACCACATGTTATTTAGCAAATGCTTTTTATCCAAAGCTATTAAGTATCTCAGCCAGGGACACTTGTTGACTGCAGGGGTCGGGATCAAACCGGTTACAGTATGATTACTAGAAACATAATTACCCCCTGAGCCACATCCATCAGGTCTGATGCAGAAGTGTTAAACACAACAGGGCTCAAATCTGAGCAAACATTTACAAACATACTCCCACTTCAAGTCAACACATGAGTCACCGTGTGTGTGTGTGTGTGTGTGTGTGTGTGTGTGTGTGTGTGTGTGTGTGTGTGTGTGTGTGTGTGTGTGTGTGTGTGTGTGTGTGTGTGTGTGTGTGTGTGTGTGTGGGTCCTCAGGCAGCAGGAGATGCTGATTGGTCTGAAGTTGAACGTCAGCTGAAGGCTCTGATGAGAGGCGACTGAGGAAGAAACTCAGTCACACCACAGCGCCATCTAGAGGACAGAAGATGTTCTGCACACAGCCTGGAGGGACAGTCGGAGGTAAAACACACTGTATGATCTTATCTTTAGTCACAAATCATGTAGCAGACAGTTTAATATCTTAGGCACGTTGTACAATAAAGAAGACAGCCTATACAAATCTTAGAGTAATGTATAATAGGAATGTGTGTATAATAATCAACTTGTCAAGGCTAATGCTAAATATGTTGTATTATAGTCAAAGGAATTCATATGGGAAAACTAGTGAAAATAAAGACATGTTTTTTTCAGATTTCAACACAATTTAAAAAACAATATTGAATGGAGGGGAGAAAAGTATTTTATTGTATTATTTTTGATAGTTTTGAAGTGCCCTGTTTTGTTTGGAAAGCTTTATTTTCATTTGATGAAGGCGTGGATGGCAAACACAAGGGGGGCTGAATTTTTATGCATTTGTTTATATCCAAAACGACTTACAATGACCAATTACAGGGATATTCTCCCTGGAGTAATTAAGGACTAAGTGCCTTACTCAAGGACACACTAGTGGTGGTGTTCCTGGTGGGATTTGAACTCACAACCTTCCGATCTTCAGCCCACCTCACTATCCATTAGACCACCACTATCCCATTGATCATGCATTGATCAAATGTACAAATCTGGTATAAGACATGATCGAAATAATTACTTCCTCCTGCTTACATTTGAGATATTTTTGTACATGAAAAAAATCTATTCCACCTCTTCACTTAATATTTAAATGTTTTACAACAGAATTATTCATCCAGATTCTCAGTGGCTTCAAACACTTACAATGGAAGTATTTAATACACTGTTAAGTGTCCTTTAAGCATCCCGGCAATAATTGATGAAGACGGACAAAAGATGGTGTCAAAGCCCTGACTGATCTCATTACATGTTCATGCAGTCGATAGGCTGCCTGCGCCAAACCTGGCACTGCCAAAGGGTAACCACCAGGGGCGTTGCCAGGACCTGAAAAAATTCAGGGCGTAGCCCACAGTGGCGGCTGCGCTACAGTGGAATTTTTTACTGCAACACTCCCCACACGCACACACACAGTACAACCGCAACTGTTACAATGAAGGCTCGATAATCAGCTCACGGCATATAGGCAGGGGTAAAGTGCTATTTTTTTATGAGTCTGGGGCGGACCTCACCTCCTCTAGGGGGGTCCGGGAGCATGCTCGTCCGGGAAGATTATTTTTTAAATATTGAAGTTAAAAGCATCAATCTGGTGCACTTTGAGAGCAACATTAAGAGATATATGGATACATCTCTCAACACCCAGATGAAACAGAACTGTAAGCAGATGTTCTTTTTCTTTATGGATATTTTACAAATCACTGCCCTTTCAAACTCTACTCTTGTTTTACTGCCATATAGTATTTCATAACTGTTTTTCCTTTATTCTCTTATTTTTTTAACTATAGTGATAGTGATCATATGAAGGTGTGCCGCGGAAATAATCTTTTGAATAATTTGTGACCAAACCGTTTGAGACCCACTGAGATAACTTAGAGTAAAGTTAACTATCTAAACACTCAGAGAGTC